AATTCTACTTGCGACTAATGCTGCTCGGGGCAAGCGGAGCAATACAACCAAGGCGACCCCTGTCACGCTATCCGTGAATTTTTACAACATCAGGGGACTTCATTCCAAACTTAACGCTGTCCATTACCATCTAGAGACGGCGAAGCCGGCCTTGCTCTTTTTAACCGAGACTCAGGTGTCCTCTTCGGCTGATACTTCATATCTCTTCTAACCCGGTTACAAATTGGAACACTCCTTTGTTCCCCGGGCTGAAGTTTGCGTATACGTCAGAGAGGACATCTGTTTTCGACGCCTCGGCAGTCTTGAAGGTACGAACCTGTCCATCTTATGGCTGCGCGTAGACAGCGACGACCATCCCCGCATCTACGGGTGCCTCTATAGGTTCCATAGCGGTAATGACGACACAGACCGACTCATCGACCACGTCCAAATGGCTGCAGGCTCTACAACAGGTCCCATCCGCAGATATCGTAATACTCGGTGATTTTAACGCCCACCACACTGAATGGCTTGGTTCTCGTTTAACCGATCATGCGGGTAGATCTTTCTATGACTTTGATTTGGCATATGGTCTAACACAACTGGTTACTTCGCCTACGCGGATCCCAGATGTGGAAGACTATGTACCGTCCCTATTGGACCTTTTACTGACCTCTCATCCGGACAGATATCAGGTCTCCGTCGATGCCCCTCTGGGCTCTTCGGACCATTGTCTGATCCGGAGTACGGTGCCACTCACGCTCCAATCGCAGTTGCGATCTGCAGCTTGCCGCCGTGTTTGGCACTATAGGTCAGCTGTTTGGGACGGGATGCGGTCTTTTTTTGCATCCTACCCTTGGGGGTGGGTTTGCTTCTCACCGGAAGATCCCAGCGTTGTTGCCGATTCTGTTGCTGATGGGGTAGTCAGGGTATGGAACTTTTTATTCCAACCTCTGTGGTGCACATCGGAGGCAGATCCCAGCCATGATTTGGTCGCTCCTGTAAAATAGCATCACGCTAGGGATGTAAACACCAGCGCACTTAAAAAGAAGTATAATTCCGCCTCCAGGTCCTTCAAAAGCGTCATTGTCAAGGCAAGGTCTGAGCACATCGGCAGAATTGGCGAGAAGCTAGTTCGCCTTCCTTCGGGAACCCGTGCATTCTGGTCTCTCGCCAAGGCTGTCCAAAGGAACTTCTGTCAGCTACCTCTTCCATCTCTGCACAGAGAGGACGACTCACTGGCCTATGCCGCAAATGAGAAAGCTGATCTGTTGAGCTCTCTCTTTGCGTCCAACTCGACTCTAGATGACGGGGGGAACACACCGCCGACCATCCCGCGATGTGAGTGCTCCATGCCGGATGTGCGGTTTACACAGTGCTCGATTCGCAAAGCACTCTTCTCCCTGGACGTCAGCAAATCGAGTGCGCCCGATGGAGTCCCTCCCATTGTGCTGAAGACGTGTGCTCCGGAGTCGGCACCGGTTTTAACGCGTCTTTTCCGTACTCCTACTCCCAAGGCGTAGTCCCGAAATCATGAAAGACAGCTTTCGTGCACCCGATCCCTAAAAAAGATAAACGCTGTGATCCGTCCTACTTTAGGCCTATCGCCGTCACCTCCTTGTTCTCCAAAATAATGGAATCCATTATAAACTGCGTATAACATGAGCTGCATGAGGTACCTTGAGGATCACCAGCTGATTAGTGACCGCCAGTACGGTTTTCGTCGGGGTCGATCAGCTGGTGATCTTCTAGTCTATCTGACTTATAGATGGGTGGAGGCAGTAGAGTCCAAGGGGGAGGCATTGGCCGTTAGTTTGGACATAGCGAAGGCCTTCGATCGGGTCTGGCACAAAGAACTTCTTTCGAAGCTTTCATCCTATGTGCTTCCCGAGAAATTGTGCAAATGGAACAACAGTTTCCTTGCTGGTCGGAGCATCAAGGTCGTAGTAGACGGTGCATGCTCTGATTTCAAGCCTATCAACGCTTGTGTTCCACAAGGCTGCGTGCTATCACCATCGCTGTTTCTCCTCCATATCAATGATATGTTGCTAACTGGTATCATTCATTGCTATGCGGATGACAGCACTGGTGATGCCTTATATACCGGCCGTTAGAGACAAGAAAAGCTGCTGCCGTAACGTATCACGCTTAAAACTTTACTACGTTATGGTATCGTAATATGGGGCAATGGTACAGATAAACAGAGATTATTTACTGCACAAAAGAAATGCATTAGAGCTATTGGTGGAATCGCACCGGATAAATCCTGCAAACCGATATTTAGGGGCCTAGGTTTGTTGCCACTATCATCTCTCTATATCTACGAAGTTTGATCTGTTTACAAAGGCATATGATATGAACATAAGACTAAAAAGAAATGCAAACAGACTTATATTAGATGATGTACCGTGTCCAAACAAATAAAGTAAAAGCTGTTTAACCATGCGTATTCTTATTTGTAATAAAATACCAAATGACGTAAACCACTTAATAATAATTTATTTAGAAAAAAAAAATATTGACTTATCTCATTGAAAATCAATTTTAGACATCAGAGACCTATTTGTGGAATGTAATTAATATTTTCTTAATCAATTAATTATCTTAATTTATTTATAATTTTATTTGTTTTAGTCTAATTGTTCTGGGTTTTGATTGGAAAAATTCATTTCTATATGCTATTTATGTAAATTTGCGTGCTACTTACGATCAAATAGCAAAACAAGTCATGCTTTAAAAATTGTACCATCCTCATTTGTCCATATTTTAAGCAAATGTATCTAAAAAATAAAAATAAGTAAGTAACTAAATCATTATAATTTATAGAAAAAAATTATTGTGAACATCACTGCAATAAATACTTCCATGTAAATCGTGCTTTAGAAAGTCATTTAAATACAAATTTATGAAATAATTTAATTTAATCGTGAAATGTAATGCCTTCAATTTTTCATTCACTGCGGCTTTTACAACCCATAACACTGAACGACATATGATATAAAATCAAATAATTTTCTAATTAAAAACGTACAATTATCGAGTTTAATTTGCAAATATTTTTTTAAATAAAATAATAAACATTGAAACACTCCGTGACAGTTGTACAGTTGACAGTGTGTCTGCCACCAAATTTAATACCAAACGGCTTGTTAGGTCGTACGGGAATAAGGACAACAATATAATAGCTATATATCCATAGATTACTGTATATTTACTAGAAATATTACGAAGTACATGTATTTCCATGAGAAATATATATCATTCCATAGACTTACCAGTATATCCTAAGTCTATGTATCATTCTTACAAGTGCTAATAATTATGATTATGCGTCCTTGGTTTTGTGAATGAAACAATACATATCACGCTGTTTATTGCATTCTTTGTCTATGAACCAATCCAATCTAATCATAATAAAAAAAAGTTTTGCGGGAACTTCATTATCGGCAGATTGCTGCTCCTTTTTTGTCTTCAATTTAAAGTGATTTTTGATATGTAAAGTGACGCAATTTTGTGATTATTTAAATGTCTGCTTACGTGAACTATTAGTGTTTAGTGGACACGATGTATTGTGCTTTGGTGATGTAAATGTCAGGTATTTTTATCAGCTGAGGCCTTAAGGTAACATCGTCATCAACTGTCCGTTGGTATAAGCCAAAGAGTATAGTAACCAGTGTGACCATATGTGGCAGGTTCCTGCCATTTTGGCAGGATTGACCTCTTATTTTAGCCTCTGGCATGATCGGTTGACGTTTTATAAAACCTGGCAGTATTTGGCAGTATTGGGGTATTAAAATAGATTTCATTATGGCAAATTAAAATAACGAAAATGGCAACCCTAGATACTTCGCCAGCATGTTGGGGATTGCCCTGTATTTCTCGATTTCTCGTATTATGTTTGTATCATATTCAATAAACAACTTTTAAAAAAAATGTGTATAATTAACACGAGTTCGTTAATATTTCAATCAGTCATAAAAGAGACGTACTTTAGTTTGGTATCGCATCAGATTTCATGGTGATTACATCTTGTTAATAATATTTTGTTGACGATAGTAATTATAGGTGGCTATGATGAAGCGAAAATAAGAAAAGGCGTATAGAGCGAATTGGGAGCAAGATCTTTTAATTTCATCATGGATCTCCAAAGCTAAAGATGATCCAGACTGTGTAATTGCAAATTGGCACCCCGGCTGTCCGCTTTAAAAAGCACGCCGCTAATAGTAAACATCAAAAAAATATGAGTGGATGCAGCATGCGAAAGAATATTCTCGCAAATGAATTTAATTAAGACAAAAACACGAAACAGATTTATAAACAAACATGTAGCGTCTATCTTGTACCTTAAACAAGGCATTGGTGAGCATAGCGATTGCATTGCATTCAAACCAACTAAATATATGTTTAATTTTAATTTATTAAAATGTAGCGTTTATATTTGTATTTTTACTTTTCTTAGTTTAATACAATGGTAAATAAAGTTGGCAGTATTTAGGCATTTTTCACTACAGACTTTGGCAGGATTTGGCAGGTTTTTAACCAAAGTGAGGCAGGATCTGTATTTTAAAGATGGTCACCCTGATAGTAACTGTCCTATACAGGAAGTATAAGCTGTCGTCAAAATCTACACAATGTGAATGCATCATCATTTTGCGAGAGATTATTTATGAACAAAAACAGACATACAAATTAGAGTAGCCTTTATGGTCTAAGACCATTGCCTAATTTAATTGGCGAATCGTATTAACAACAATAACAACAACAAAAAAATGTGCAATATGAATAATAACCTAAAATTTAGCCTAAAAGAAAAGGATTGTAGAAACAGTTTTGAAGAACATTTCACTCATGATATATTCCTTATCCTATAGGTTTATTGCAGAAAGTACATAGAAAAAATTAGGATATTATTATTGAATACATTTTGTAATATTTTGGCCCAGGAAAATATCTTCTGACGAGATATTTCAGCAGGATACAATATCATATCACAGAACACTACATATTTATTCATGTACAATATGGATTCAAAATACGCATCTGTCGGTAAAGAAAACCAAAGAAAGCATTCTCTTGATTTAAAAGTGAAGCGAGTAAATTTAAGCACTGAAAATTCATTAAAATTAAATGGGCAAGTCATAACACAAACTTTATCCCACAAAAACAAAGAAAAAGAAACATTTGAAGATTTACAGGAATCTAGAAAGATATTGCCTGTATATACTGTAAGGTCCAGGTTGGAACATTTTTTTAATATCATTATGATGTAAAGTGTAACTTCATAGTCTAATTAGTATTTAAATTAATTTATTCGAAAAATAAAAACAGGTGGTTTGATTGCTCAATTAAAATCACTAGTTCACTAGTATCACCAGTAGTTTAAATTGGAACGGCTATGTGAAAATTATGCAAAGTAGTTAAATAATTTGTTTGCATAACATAATCTTAGCTCATATTATAGCCATCAAAGTGATTACATGCTTTCATTTCATTGATTAAAGCATTTTGTATTGAAAAGTCTGTGTAATCTGTCTGTGTAGGTATATAATACCCACATGATTTTGTTTTTGTTCATAACTATAGCACAGTTGCTATCAAACAATATAAGTTTTATTCCTCTCCCAAAACAATAGATATTAAAAAGGTTGAAGTACATAATTTAATGATACCTAATTTAAGATAAATTTAATATGTAAACATATGAATCATATACTATAATTTCAGGAATAAATATGTTATGGACCAAAAGATTAATTGCACATTATTCATAATGCCCGGTCAATATGAATAATGACCAATATAGGTAGACAATGTGATAAAAACGATTGAAATAATTAAATTGACCAGGTTTTATGAATAAAGCCCCTTACTTATTGGGCAGAGTTATAAAAAGATGGTTCTTACAATAATTTATTTATTTTTATATATCCAATATATTTTAAATGTAAAAAATAAATGAGAAAATTCAAGTAAATATGCAATACTATTTTTTAGAAGTAGCAAGTGTTGTACCATCTTGAAATCAATTAAATGGGCCATTTTTAAAACAACTTGCTTATGTTAGTATAGTACATTTTTTTTAAAGACAAGGCATCAAAGTTACGTGTTAAACCGTTTTTAAACATGACTTAATTTAACTTTTTTTTTGTACTAGACTCACAATATTAATTATTAGATTTGTGATTGCAATCAATAGCATAGTTATTTTTAAAAAAACACTAAAAAATTTGTGATCACAGTACCTAAATATGTGATCTAGGATGCTGATTTTAAACATTTTCAAAAGTATTATCAATTACACTTATTATCACTTAACCAAGTAACATGATTTTTTTTTATTTTTGCTAGAACTGGTACAGCCTCGCTTATGGCTCCATACCCGCTTGACGTTGAGTTTCGGGTATGACCAGGGGAGTATATAGGCTATAACTTTATTTACTACTAGATTTTTTATTTTCAGATTATTAGAAGAAATAAAGAAAAATAACACAATGATATTAATTGGTGAAACTGGAAGCGGTAAAACTACACAAGTACCTCAATTAATTCATGAGCTACGTCTTGAGGGATCAGGGGCAATAGCAATCACACAACCACGCAGAGTTGCTGCTATCACTTTGGCATTGCGTGTTGCAGCTGAAATGAATACTGAAATAGGCTCATTTGTGGGGTACATACCATTCAATGTTATTATCATTACATTTTGTCACATTTGAAGACTCAAGTAAGATTTTGTTTTCAGATACTGTGTAAGATTTGAAGATGTTACTAGTGCTAGGACTAAGGTAAAATATCTAACAGATGGCATGTTGCTAAGAGAGGCAGTGGCTGATCCCTTGTTGAAAAGGTATTCATTTATAATATTGGATGAAGCACATGAACGCACAGTAAATACTGATGTGTTATTTGGAATAGTTAAATTAGCTCAAAAAGAGAGAAATGATAAGAAACTATTACCTTTGAAGGTATTAATCTCGTTTATTGATAATGTTATACATGATCTTTGCTTATTTTTATTTACATGCTTATTTTTCGTAGATTATAATAATGTCTGCAACAATGGATGTGGATTTATTTAAAAAGTATTATGATGACTGTCCTGTTATTTATTTAGAAGGTAGAACACACCCTGTCACCATTTATCATGCTAAATTGAAACAAGATGATTATCAATATGCAGTTGTTTGTACTATATTTCAACTGCATGTGTCGACACCATCCAAGTGAGTTTTATATCACAACTATTTTGCTCTTTACCTTTTATCTATCTATATCTATTGCAGTAAATTTAATTTGTAGTAAAACAAAAAACAAAGAAATCTAGTGTTTAAATAATATTTTTCTTAATTTATGTGTCTCAATGGAATTATATGTTTTAGCCATGACTTCCTTGTATTCCTTACTGGGCAGGAAGAAATTGAAACTGTTATGAGCAATATAAAACAAGTAGCAAAAGTAAGTTGTGTATGAATTTTAACTTGAACTTTATTGAATGTAGGAGAGGATTTTTTTTTGATTTAAATAATATAATTAAGTAGTTTTTTTATTTAAGTGTATTTATCCATAAATGATTTCAATGAAGGGTAAGATTATCAAATTCACTATACCATTTTTTAATTTAATGTATGTAAAACAATATCTACTTGATTATTTATCTCATTTTGTTTTTTTTTTATTCAAAAGAGTATGCCAGAAAAAAAATCAAACTTTAATTATCAAAAGATATTTCAGCAGTTACAGTAAAATTGAGTGTGGTTTTAGGTAATCTAGATGTTAATGTACAGATATCACTGAAAATTTTAAATTATATTTTTAAGTGACGATTTATCACATGCTTAGTATCGATAGAAAGTATGTTTAAGTATAGAAAATAATGTAATATGAGGCAACTTGCATATGTTGAAAGAGATTGAAGGATGTAAAAAAGTATTCCGAGAAATCTTTAAAAGTTCTCTAACTTACACGATTTCTCTTGTTCACTTTGTGTATTATTTTTCATTATATTATTCTATAAAAAATATTTAAAATAATCAGTTTGTAATTACAGGAGTCTTCAGGACCTCCAATAAGAGTATGCCCCCTGTATGCTGGTCTACCAGCTGCAAAACAGTTGCAAGTGTGGAAGAAAACACCCCCTGGAATGAGAAAAATAGTTTTGGCCACCAATATTGCTGAGGCATCTGTTACAATCCCACAAATAAAGTGTGTCATTGACACTGGTATGGTGAAGGAAAGGTATGTTGGTTTGACATTGTATGAATTATAATATTTTAATATTATCAGTTGTAGGTTATGAATTAATGCTATGACTGACAGGGACTGATTTTTTTTAATAGGATAAGGGTGATAAACAAGCACAAACTCCACCTGATGGTAGGTAGTCAGTGTGAGTCATAGACATCTACATTTATATCGTCAACTACAAATCAAAATGCAGATGGCGTTGTTACCCGTGAGGAATAAGATGGAATGCCTCGTTTCCAATAAAAGGGGTCTCCGGTTCTTTACATTCACCATACGAAACAGCAGTGTTAAGATGCTATTTTACGCTGATATTCTGTGAGAGTGTGGCCCCACCCCTATTATTCGTCCCGTTCGTGCTACAACTATACCAGTAATATACCTGCAGCATGGCTCTACCACGTATAAAAATTTTAAAAGGATTTTTCATTAAAGCTCATTATCTCAAATAATTTCGAGTCTTATTAAAAAAGAAATGCTTTAATTATTGTGATATCCTTCATACTGTTAAATAAATATTAAATACTGATTATTGAATTATATTGATACGGCCTTATAATGTTGTAGGACGTGGTGCACGGCGACGGGCGCGGAGCGGCTGCGCGTGCGCGCGTGCTCGCAGGCGGCGAGCTGGCAGCGCGCCGGCCGCGCCGGCCGCACCGCGCGCGGCGCCGCCTACCGCCTCTACACCGCGCACGACTTCGCCTCGCGCCACGCACACAACACGCCAGAGATCGTCAGGTCACATTCTGAAGTCGACCATTTTTTAGCGCTTCCTTCTCCATGAGATACAGCCCGCAGACAGACAGACGGACGGACGGACAGCGGAGGCTTAGTAATGCTTTTCCGGCACGGAATCCTAAAAAAGATAAATATTGGATGTAATTTAAAAAAGTAACAACCACGCAAATTAGTGATGGCATCTTTAGGACGAGCGTCTCGGAATATGCCATGTCCTATACCTAATCATAATTTAATGTACAAAATCTCTTAATTCCAAGAGTATAAAAGATAGGAGATATATGTGGGAGGTCTATGTTCAATAATGGACTTTTTAGGCTACAATGAATGAATAAGAAATAAAATACATTTTCACCTGATTTATTGTACCACTCAAATTTGTTTTTCTTCTTAAGCTTTTGAACAAATTTTCTTAAAAACTATTTTTAGACGTGACGAGACGTCTAGCCAAAATTTTAATATTAAAAAGAATGTCCAGCAGTGGATTAAGAGATGTTTAAACCCGGAAACATATATTCTTTAATATTAATTTCTAACAATACATTCAAAACACTGTGGCCAAATTTTAAATGAATAAAAACTAAATATGAACCGGGCCTGTGTCATGGCCAGATTTAAAATTTACTTTTGAATTACTGTTAAATATTACTTAAAGTATTTATTTTATTTTAGGTGTCCTTTGGCAGCAACTATGCTGCTGCTGATTGCAACAGGATTGGATCCCATTACCTTTCCATTAATAGATCCGCCTCCTCCTGATTCCATACAAGCTTCATTGTTATTGTTGAAAGAGTTAGGTATGGACATTTCAGTTAAAACAAACAAAGTTATTATCACTAACTGTTTTTAATATATTCAATGCATTATTTAATTTTTCTCTTTCAGGTGCTATCGATAATGAGGCTAATCCGAAGCTGACAATTCTCGGCAAAAAAATGACTGCTTTTCCGATTGATCCCAAGTATTCTAAAATTATATTATGTGCTCCTGAATTCAATTGTTTAGATGAGGTAAGATCAGTTCTGTGAAGTTTTACGAAAGACGTTGCAGTGAAGTTTTGTTTTTGATTATCTAATTTTGATTTTAAATACTTGTCCAGCATCATCTCATTTCTTACCTTGAATGTTTAAAAATACAATGGGAAATGCTATAAACATTTTTATATGGTGGTATACTGTATCGTATATGCCATGTAAGGACTATAATGCCTGGGTCGATGACGGGAGGTAGGGAAAGGGAGGGGGGGGAGAGCAGCGCCAAAGATATACGACATTAGCGGGTATGAATTTTCATCGCAGTACGAGTGGGGTAGGCAACTAGACTTTCTTATTCTTATTATTGTTAACTATAAGAGTGAATGAAATCAAACAACGTTCAATCACGTGACAGTCACGTGATTTAACATTGAAATAATATGTTATTCATTTTTATAGTTTTGTATATATGCGTCAACAATTGAAAAAAGTCAGCTTGGCTAATAGTTCTGGTACAGCGATTAATTTGATCAAATGACAATGTGATCTTTGCATTTCTTTGGGAAGGCCTACGTTTAGTGGAATTGTGAAGGGCTGTAATGATGATGATGAATGCGATCTTAACCGTCTGACAAATGCGGTGATTATGGGAAATTCTTCCTATAACAGGATAAGCCCAGTGGATTGTTACAGGCTGATAAAGAAGACAAAGCGGAGTTGATATTGAAGAAATCTCTGACCTTTTCTAAAACATTTAATATTCAAAACTTATTTGTGATTCATGTTGTGTTCACGTTATAGATTCTGTAGTAGCCATATAACCAAGTTAGTCTTCAAGGCTCAAAAGATGCAGGATTTTCGTAAATTTGTAGACTGGGCTAATCTAAAACTGACCAAAAAAGACGTTTCAGTTTGGTATGGTACAAAAAACCTAGAATTATTTGTAGTAAAGTTACAGCCTATATTATGCTCCCACTGTGCTCAGTACCAGTCACCTCTCATTTCTGAAAGGATCATGGGGCAATTAGTCGAATGCGCTGCAAAATACGTGTTTTTTCACGATGGTTTCCTTCATTGCCGAGGGCGTGGTAAATCAGCACTTCAAATTGTAATTAACAACTTAATTGGAGCCGGCAGGTTCGAATCCGGTTTGCTCCAATATAAATGGCTACCGCTTAGTATCAGAGCTACCACGGTATAATACACAAAATTCCATTAAATGTAATTCTCTCATATAATAAATAAAATATAAATATATCTAACAAAATATACACAAGACACAATTGCTCCTACTTTCCAGGCATTAAGTTTGGTTGCAGTTTTGTCTAGCGAAAATATATTTCATATGCCAATTCACAAAAGAGATGAAGCGTTGAAAGTGAAACAAAAATTTGTTTCACCTCTTGGAGATCATGTTACACTTTTAAATGTATTTAAAGCGTTCTGTAAGGCTCCTCTTAAAAAGGTAAGTAGAAACAGTAAAAATGTTTAGTAAAAAGTTTTATTTTCCATTTGTTACATAATAAGTATTCTTATTGTCATATTTTTTAAATTAAAACAATGAAAAATATTATTTATGGAATGTGTACTCACTTGTCACCCTATAAAAAAACTAATAAATGTAACGAAATCAAAAAACTACCAAATTTCAAAAAAAATAGCATCATTATGCTTCGACCTATCGTTGATTAAACAAAAAAGTTAGGAAGACAATTAGAATAAAGAAAATAATTTTCGACTTTTGCGCCGTCTCTTTATAAAACAATTTTGTTCCTAGCGATTATAATTGATTTTCAAAAATGAAAGCAGACCGTCTGGGGAAAATTGGCGATGACGTCAAGAGTGCCATTTCCCCCTGTTATGCGGAAAAGCAAATAACTTTTTCTCATGTTGTAATTTATCGCATTCATTTTAATTTTATTTAAGTTGTAGGCAATTTTTTTTAATAATTGTGGGGCTTATGTTGATACTGACAAAAGATGAGAGACAAGTTAAATAACCTCTATAATAAAATAAAATAAATAAAATAAAAATGATGTCTTTTATCGATTTTTTTTGCATACTCCACTACTAAGCATAATCCATGGAGATGTGAGAAACATTTGCATTTGGCCATTTCTAATATAATATTTGAAATTTATCAGTAATAGAAACTTAAAGAAACTATGATCACTCTTGGAAATTCTGCACACTAAGCGAACACATTCACGGACACAGTTTATCATATAAACAGGTCATTTTTACATTCTAGTTGACTAACTTCGTAATGTTCTTACATTAAACATTTTGAGGAGTTATAGTATAAGTATGTAATTAATCAAAATTATTTAATACACTATATAGATTTTATACCATTTACACAATTTTATTACAGCAATGGTGTAAAGAGAATTACCTTAATCATAAAAATTTGTCCTATGCTTACGAGATAAGACAACAACTGCTGAATGTTTGTCAGAGATTGAATATGACAGTGACGAGTTGCGGAACAGCAATGGATCAGGTAACAGTAAATTTACGCGTGAATACCATGTGTTCTTTCGTAATAAGTATTTACTTAAATATTAATATGGCTCGGCACCTGTACACGTAACCCCTAGGTGCACTTAAGCGATCTTGAAGCGCTTATAAGACATTTCTCCTGTAACGTGATGTTGAATTTTTTATGTTAGAGGCGCAGCCTACTGAATATTATGCTTGCGGTACGTGTAAGTCTGTCTAGTTAACATTTAAACTTTTATTATTTAAAGTAGCAGACAATTCAAGATTTGCTGTAATCGCCTCGTTTTTATCGTCATGATAATTGACAAATTCAGTTTTTAGTCAATTAGGTATTTTAACATTATTTTATGCATTCGTTATATATTATGTTTTTGCAAAGGTGATTGTGTACTGTGGTGGCTACGGTACTGAGGCCATGCGGTTGCTATGAATTTGAATCTCAGCCGAAGCCGACGTATGCCCAAAAACACAAATTGTTCGTTTTTGTTTCCGATTGTGTTGTCATAATTCTTGATATGTGTTGTATTTTTGATACAGCATCCTAGTCTTCCTCCGATCTTATTCCGTTAGCATAATATAATTACCTCGGGTGAACGAGAGAAGTGAATTCACTTGTGGCACTATAGTATCACCTGCTCGGCTGTTTAACTCAAAATAACAAAAAAAAGTGCTATTACCTGCCTGCTAAGCGTGGCAACGACGGCATATATCCTCCCTGTGAGCCAATCCATAGATGTCTAGTCTATGTTCAAGAGTGGACTTTAGATAGGCTGTAATGAATGAATAAAGGTAGGTACTACAATATCGTAATACGCACCTATGCGATAATTTAAAACTATACAGTCTTATTAAGTAGTATTAATCTAAACACATAATGATAATAGAATTCGTAATTAGAAATCGTGTCTCGTGCGCGTTTTGCATCATCTGTGACTTTTCCATTCGTTTTTGTGTATGCAATGCCTTTGAGAATTTATAATGGGACATTTTATCTTGATCTCTGGGGGGTAATTGCTTATCAGCATTCAGCAATCGAGAAAAGATGTTGGTGTATATGAGTCACAGCATCCACTTGCCATCATCATGTCGCAATAATTTAGCGGGGCAAACTCCAAACAAAAAGTAGTCGAGTTGATAACATTATGAACTGAAAACATCTTTAAAACCGTTGTGGTTTGAAACTCGATGAAACGGAAACACGACATTAAAAGGAGACAAACATATACATCTTCATTTAACGGTAGTAGAGCCACGCAGCAGCTTTTGCTGTTGCACGTATGGGCCGGCTCGAGCCGGGTACCACGACCTCACAGAATACCGGCGTGAAGTGGAAGCTCTGCTTCCGCGTTTCGTCTGGTGAGTGCAGGTGACCGGAGAATCCCTCGCTGAGCTCAACACAATAACTGCTCGGGGAAAACTGAGCAACATGACCAAGGCGACCCCTGCTACGCTATCCGTGAATTTCTGCAACATCAGGGGACTTCACTCGAACCTAAACGCCGTCCACTACCATCTCGAGACGGCGAAGCCGGCCTTGCTCTTTCTGACCGAGACCCAGGTGTCCTCTCCGGCTGATACTTCGTATCTCTCCTACCCGGGGTACAAATTGGAGCACTCCTTTGTGCCTCGGGCTGGAGTTAGCGTATACGTCAGAGAGGACATCTGTTCTCGACGCCTCGGCAGTCTTGAAGGTTCGGACCTGTCCATCCTTTGGCTACGCGTAGACAGCGACGACCATCCGCGTGTCTACGGGTGCCTCTATAGGTCCCATAGCGGTAATGCCGAAACAGACCGACTCATCTACCACGTCCAAATGGCTACGGATTCCTTGCTACAACAGGTCCCATCCGCAGAGATCGTGATCCTTGGCGATTTTAACGCCCACCACGCCGAATGCCTCGGTTCACGTTTAACCGATCATGCGGGGAGATCCGTTTATGACTTTGCCTTGGCATATGGTGTGACACAACTGGTTGCATCGCCTACGCGGATTCCAGATGTTGAGGATCATACACCTTCCCTGTTAGACCTTCTGCTGACCTCTCATCCGAACGGATATCAGGTTTCCGTCGATGCTCCTCTTGGCTCTTCGGACCATTGTCTGATCCGGAGTGTGGTGCCATTCACGCTCCCCTCGCGGTTGCGTTCTGCAATTTGCCGCCGTGTTTGTCATTACACGTCGGCGGATTGGGACGGAATGCGGTCTTTTTTTGCTTCCTACCCATGGGGGAGGGTTTGCTTCTCGCCGGATGATCCCAGCGCTGTTGCTGACTCCGTCACTGATGTGGTGCTACAGGGTAATGGAACTATTTATTCCATCATCTGTGGTACCCATCGGAGGCAGATCTCAGCCTTGGTTTGGTCGCTCCTGTAAGACTGCATTATGCAGTAAGCAGGAGTGTTATCACGCCTGGGCTGCGCCTTCGGCGACTCGGGATGTAAACACCAGCATACTTTAAAAGAAGTATAACTTCGCCTCCAGGTCCTTCAAAAGAGTTATTGCCAAGGCAAAGTCAGAGCACATAGGCAGGATTGGCGAGAAACTAGTTCGCGTTCCTTCGGGAAACCGTGCATTCTGGTCTCTCGCCAAGGCTGACCAAGGGAATTTCTGTAAGCCATCACTACCATCTCTGCAAAGGGAGGACGACTCACTGGCCCACGACGCAAAAGAGAAAGTCGACCTTTTAGGCTCCCTTTTTGCGTCCAACTCGACTCGGTGACGGGGGGAACACACTAACCATCCCGCGGTGTGAGTGCTCCATGCTGGATGTGCGGTTCTCACAGCGCTCGGTTCACAGAGCACTCCTCTCCCTGGACATCCACAAGTCGAGTGGGCCTGACGGAATCCCCCCAATTGTGCTGAGGACGTGTGCTCCGGAGTTGGCACCGGTTCTAACGCGTCTTTTCCGGTACTCCTATTCCCTAGGCGTAGTCCCGAAATCATGGAAGACAGCTTTTGTCCACCCGATCCCTAAAAAAGGCGACCCCTCAGACCCGTCCAACTACAGGCCTATCGCCATTACCCCCTTGTTCTCCAAAATAATGGAATCCGTTATAAACTGCCACCTCATGCGGTACCTTGAGGATCACCAGCTGATTAGTGACCGCCAATACGGTTTTCGTCGGGTTCGATTAGCTGGTGATTTTCTGGTCTACTTAACTCATAGATAGGCGGAGGCAGTAGAGTCCAAGGGGGAGGCATTGGCCGTTAGTTTGTATATTGCGAAGGCCTTCGATCGGGTTTGGCACAAAGCGCTTCTTTCGAAGCTCCCTTCCTATGGGCTTCCCGAGAAATTATGCAATTGAATCACCAGCTTTCTTGCACATCGGAGCATCAAGGTCGTTGTAGACGGTGCATGCTTCGACTACAAGCCTATTAACGCTGGTGTTCTACAAGGCTGTGTGCTATCACCAACGCTGTTTCTTCTGCATATTAATGATATGTTGCTAACTGGTAACATTCATTGCTATGCGGATGACAGCACTGGTGATGCTCTATACACCGGCCGTGCCAATATTTCTCGGGAAAAAATCGCCGAGTACCGGAACAAACTTGTGTCTGAAGTCGAGTCTTTGCTGAACAAAGTCTCGGATTGGGGGCGACTAAATCTAGTCCAGTTTAATCCCCAGAAGACACAAGTTTGCGTGTTTACCGCTAAAAAGAACCCCTTTGTCGTATCTCCTCAGTTTCAAGGCACTCCCCATCTTGCCTCAGCCAGTATCGGAATCCTCGAAGTCGACATATCGAGTGACGTGCCGTGCAGTTTCGTAGTCACTTGGAAGAGAAGGCCAAATTGGCCTCTAACAAGCTTGGCGTGCTCAGCAGAGCGGGACAGTATTTCATGCCGGCACAACGCCTGCAACTTTACAAGGCGCAGGTTCGGCCTCACATGGAATACTGTTCCCATTTCTGGGCTGGGGCTCCGCAGTGCCAGCTCCTTCCACTTGACCGCATCCAGCGCAGAGCGGCTCGAATAGTCGACGACCGAGTCCTTTGCGATCGGCTCGACTCATTGCATTTTCTTTCGCATTTACCACGGGGAGTGCTCTGAGGAATTGTTCGGATTAACCCTAGCCGACAAATTTCACGAACGCACATTGCGGCAGAACTCCCGATACCATCCACATCATCTGGATGATTGGCGGTCCACCACTGTGCGATTTAGAACATGTTTTCTTCCTCGTACAACTTCCTTGTGGAATAGTTTACTACCAGCGATTTTTCCTGACCGATACGACTTAGGGACCTTCAAGAAAAGAGCCTACTCCTTTTTAAAAGGCCGGCAACGCATCTGCAATTCCCCTGGTGTTTCAGTTGTTCATGGGCGGCGGTAGTCACTTACCATCTGGTGAGCCGCATGCTCGTTTGCCCCCTCTCCTATAAAAAGAAAATCTATAGGATTTAGTATGCGAGAGAATGAGATAGAATAAAGTATTACAGTGTGTATTATACATTTATTTATATTTTAATTACTTTATTACGTGGTAGAGCCATTATGCAGCTATATTAGTAGTATAGTTATAGCACGAATGGGTTGGCTCGACCGGGAAAGGACCACGCTCTCACAGAATACCAGCGTAAAATAGCAGCTTAATGCTGCTGTGTTTCGTATGGTGAGTGTAGAGAACCGTAGACCCTTTTTACTGGAAAAAAGGCATTCCATCTTAGTCCTCACGGTTGACGACGCATCTGCATTTTGATTCGTAGTCGAAGATAGATATAGATGTCTATGTGCCACAGCAAACACTTACCATCAGTTGGACTGTGTGCTCGTTTGTCACCCTTATTCTATAAAAAAAATATGCATTACAATTGTCCTACTCCTGATTGATTCTCTTCATTCGTCCTCATTATCTTGAAGTTTAGTTTTCTAAAGGTTTCACTTGTACCGCGTGTGAACTGCACACATGTTTGTTTTTGTTGTAGCTGCTGAAGTGTTTACTAAGTGGTCTATTTACGAACTGCGCGTGGGCGCGTAGCGGCGCGGCCGGGAGCGGCGGCGGCAAGTACGTGACCGCGTCCGGCTCGGCCGCGTCCGTGCACCCGGCTAGCGTGCTGTTCTCGACGCGGCCGCCCCACCCGGCCATCTTGTACACCGAACTGTTGCACACGCGCCGCTCCTACCTGGTCACAGTGTCGGCGATACAACCGCAGTGGCTGCACCAAGTGGCGCCCGATTACGCGAGACGCTGCCGTGCCAACCGGTGACACGCTCTTCGACTCTTGAGATGTGTTCAAGTACGAGTTTGACTGACGTAGCTAGAATTTCCTTTGGGCTAAATCTTATTATATATATTTCTAATATACAAGTATTGGCTTCCGGATTAGATAAAAAAGGCCTGTGCCCAGCAGTGTGAAGTACATATATAGGCTGTAAATTTCTTTTTTTTAATTGTCGGATTTTATATGACAAAATAAATGTCGCAATGTCACCATAATAACGACATGCAGAGGAGAGTTTTCGAATCAAAATTCCTGCTAATTTACGTAACATGTTTTCGGCAAACTTCTAGCTACGTTGTTAATTTATATGTAAATAGTTTGCGATATTTTAAATACTTAAATGTCTATGTGATACGAGATCTGGGTGAAAAGTAGCAAGTCTTCAAATCTGTTAAATTCGTTTTTATATTGTAACATAGGCCCTTGAAAGGTCAATACTCTTACTCCACCCAAATTTCTTGCCTTTTTGCCATCGTGATAATCGTTTTCAATAAGTTTATATTTTTAAAATTTTTGACCTATGAAATTCTTCAGTTTGGACTGGGTACTAGCAATTTGGTGGGATAAATATGGTGAATTGGTTAGCAAAGGAAATCGAAATTCATAACTTTTTGCCTTTTTCAATCGCACTATACGTGAACTCCGGGAAAACTGTTATTATGTGATTAAACGAACTTAGCTTATGTGAAGTTCAATCAAAATTATACTCTCTCCTTGTCCGAGATATTATTACAATATCATCTACGCTTTTCGTCGTTGTAGCCAGCACAAGTTTCCAAGCTCCAACCACAAAAAAATGTGTTGTTTATGTCAGCATACAAAACTACTAGTCTCCGTCAACATACAAGTCAATTTCATTAAGTTTAAAGCCCTTTCATGAACAACCCCTGCTTAACATGGATCTTAAGTGACGGGGAGTCTAGTCTCGGACAAGGAAATTAAATTTCTTCGTATAAATGTGATTGAACTTCACTTAAGGTAATTTCGTTTAATCACATAATAGGCTACTTGACTAATTTTGAAAAACCATTCTAAATGATTTTTTATTACATAATAAGCACATTATATTGATATTTCTGGGTAATCTACTGTATTAACAATAAAATTCAAAGTTAAAGTTTAAATTTCCAAAACCGCACCAAAAACGCTGATTCTGTAATAGCGCTGGTCATGTGACATGTGTGACGTCACACACGTAAACAAGTCAATAACCGTAATAAAATAGTGGAGCTGAAGTGAATTTTATAATTTTTTTTTAAATTTTTCGATTAATTTAAAGAAAGAAAGGATTCTTTTCAACCAAACCCTACAGGGTTTCAAATATTTTCTGTTATGTTGTTTAGTTATTTTTATAGCTTTATTTAATTTTTTAACTTACAAGAAATTTCTAAGTATATCAACATAATCTAAAATGAGATTCTACAAAACTTTTGAATGATAATCATACATAAAGGTTTGTAAAAAAATACCTACGTGGTACGTACACTACTGTTTTCATATTCTCATGTTTCGCTACATAGTAGCGTTATTCTTAAAGAAATCTATGCCATAAATCCATCTATCTTAGGTAGGTTGCTGTTATTGGCTCACACAAAATTTCACTCCATTTTGATATTCAAACCGAATATTTATGCCGCCTATTATAAGATATATCAAAAAACCGTTTCAGAAATATAGCACCCGAAAACATAGAATGCGAACTACAGTCAGTCAAGGCAGTGACGTCACCAAAGTTGCAACCATTAATAGGGCGTTCCCTCCGCAGATAAAATTTCAAAAATTATTATGTTTTATTTTCGTTTATTTTGTATAATATATACATAACTCGTGTTTTAGTTTAAAATAAAGTGAAATATATTTCTTTATGCTATTATCTGGGAGAGTCTCTCCTTGTCCGAGATATTATTACAATGTAGGTGTTTAAAGACTGGGTTGTAAATGAAAGAACTATTATGCGATTTTAAAATCATGTGTATCTAAAACAACTAAAGTAATTTACCTTACAATTTTTAATCACTAATTTGTTCTATTCTTAATTAAATTAATCAATTAGCACTGTATGTGTTACAAACTGGACTACTTAACAAAAATAGATCTTCCAACAGAGGTCTATTGTAAAACCTGGTATAAGAGGTCATTTCAGAATTTGTTGACCAACTCACAGTCTTCTTTATGAGATCCATATTTAAACCTGCCCTGTTTACGGCGGAGGTCGCAGCATGTCTAGTGCTGTCTGCTGTAAAAATAGGCACGTCTATTCCTGCCTTACTCAGTGCCGATTCAACCCATCGGCTTAAAGTCTGTGATGAGCCTGCTCGATGTTGTTTTTTGAGTGTTAAGAATAATTCTTCAGTATTTTGTCTGAAATTTTCTATTCGTATAATATACGATTTTAATGTATTTACTGGGCATTTTTGTAATTTACATGTATAACTTTTAAGATGTAGAATCGGTTGAAGTATATTTTTATTAAATCAGGTTTTTTAATCTGTACTCATATACATCACATCACATCTCATAGGGTACAACCTTATGGTTTGTTGTAAGTGCTATAGATACTGCCATCCAAGAAGACACGCCCCACTATTTTTCCTAATCGTTTACAGTATAAGTGTGGAAGCTTCCGCTAATGTTTGAGTATTATCAGTACACACTGATTACCTATGAGTGCACGCGTACACTACAATGAATGAATGATAAAAAATAAAATGAATAGATAAATTAGGAGAGCATTACGGTCGAAGGGAAAGATGCTCTACTTGGATTTTATATTTTTTGATGATTTTAGGTGTGGGTATTTTATGTGATTATTAGTTAGTTAATATTCGATAATATTACCATTTTTAAAATAGGGGGCAATTATAAACATGAATAAAAAATGTGAAAAAGTTTTATTGCATTCTATCGAGAAATCATAATATTTCAAAGTTCCATTCACTCGTTTCAGAAATGTCTGATTCGGAGTCCGACGTATCAGCGACATTTATAATAAAACTGAAATCAAGTTCATAGTGTCTCATGTACTCTCTTCTATTTTTTACACGTGCTGACAAGTATTGAACCAGACATCTTTATTTACTCAAGCAAAGGCTTCATTTAAAATGGGCATAATTGTACTATAATTTTGATTGCTATATTGCGGCTAGCAACGTCGTTTTTTACAATGCCTCAAATGTTTTCTATAGGGTTTAAATTTGGATGGCAAGGAGGCAGCCGAAGCACGGTGAAACCATGATCTTTCAATAAATCGTCAATTTTGTACTTGCGGAAGTTTTCTTTATTGTTTAGTATTAGTTCATAAAGTTTAGGTTTTTTGAAGCTTGGTTCGAAATGGATATTTTTTTGCATTTAGCCAAGTCTGCATGTCTAATTTATTGGAGTTAGATGTTGGTATTTTTTTTGAAGTAGAATAATGATAGGCTGCTTTATCCAAGACTACGACGGCATCATTTGGGAGATTTGGTATTAGTTTCTCCTTTAGCCACGTTAGGTAATTTTTTATGTTCATGTTGTCATGATAGTCTCCGGATTTGATCTTTGTTAAATTTTGTTGTAGTCGGCTCTGTTGTACGCTCCGTACTCTGGACTATAGCAACTATCGCATCCGTCTCTTTACTTGTATTCGATTCCATAGCAGATACTGTAGTTAGCTTAGTTGTGTTTGTATATGCCTTTCTTTTGGGTAGAATTCTAGTCACTGTGCTCAGTGTGTCAGATACACCAACAACCTGTGCGGTTCCCCAATAGTGTATCGGTGAGTTTTTCTGCGTTATTATTACTTGCTTCTTTTTTCATGAAATCATACACTTTAGAAATAATTTCTCTTACCTAAAATAGAAAAAAAAAAACACATTAAATTTAACAAGTACATTTTTAGAACTTTTCAATGTTTGTAAACAAACTATTTATTTATAATCTAAATAATTTAATCACAACTATATGGTAATTTTCAAAATTTATTTCATATGTTTTCGTAACTACTAATTTCTAAACAATGTAAATAACATTTAGATACGTGGCTTTTAAGTACAACAGACTAAGATTTTCTCGACATTTAAAAAAAATAAGTAGAGCAACTTTCGTGACGAGTCTGGATATGTGCAATATGTCCTGTACTACTCGTGTGCAACCGCTAGCTGACGGCTCGCGACTTACGCTCGGGTCAAAGTCCCGGCACCTCGCGACCCCCTCGACCAAAAATAGGTGGGGCGCTTCTTCACTATCTATAATATGGTGATAATTTTTTTGGTAATTCAATCTCAATCGACTCATTTGAATACTGTAATGCTAAATAATCTAATACTAAGCCTGGGTCCCATATAACATGGTTTTGGGGGATTCAACTTTTATTGGACGCGAGCAACACAGGGATGTTCTATAATAAATACAGTTATTTAGGTAATGTAGATAGGAAAATAAAGAATAATTTTTTTGAGATTTTTATTTCTAAATAATAACAAAATTGTGTGGGAAGTATGTTCCTTCAGCCTTCATAGGACCCGTGTGCTGGAGAATTTTCAGTATTAGAATGAAACCTTTCAAAGCACGGAACTGCACTTACTTCTACATACTTCTTTAGCACGAGTGCTGCAAAAACGGCATAGCCTAAATTTATTCAGTCTTGGCATATGAATCCTTACATTTGAAAACCGAAGCTCATCAGGCACACGAAGTGCACTACCTTTTTTGCATTTGAAAATTGGTTGCCTTCTTGTCCTGCTAGAAAAAATGTCGATCATTGTTTGACCTAATCGCAGTCTGAAAGTTCTATGCATGTTCTTTCTGCTGGAGTGACCTTCCATGTACAAAATATAAGCATTGATTATTGCAGATTCGAATAAAAACCAAAAGAGTCTATGCCAATTTTTTTTTGATTTCCTCCCTAGAGGATATGATGACCTATAATGATCGAATAGATCCACACCCCTCATATTTTCTGTATACTTTTTTATTGCCAGCGGACAGAACATTTCTTTTTTCGAACC